ATGTACGTTATAACTTTATTGCAATATTCCTTGAAATTAATGAATAAAAAGTTAAATATATTTACTACGGCTTAGAAAAAACTCCATAAATAGATTACAAAAGAGCAATTAAGAGTTGAAAAAATTAAAAAACAGAAATCTAGTTTTTTCCGACATGTAGAAATTGTGACTAAATGTAAACGTGCAAAAATTAAGAGTTTGACTTTAAATTTATGAAATAATGCATACATTTTGGTATAATTTATTGTAGTCGTTTGATGTATCTTCGCCAGCATCCCAATCAAAAATGAACTTCCGCTCATGCAATCGGCGACCACGTTTTCGTTTCTCTCGCTGTCCTCCTAAATTCCGAATAATTTAAGATTTAGATTTTCACCTCAATAGAATAAATGAGATACAATTATAATTTAGAAAACTGTACGGGGTATTTCAGGCAAAAAATGTAATGTGGAAATGAAGAAAAGCAAAAAAATGAAACAAAATAAGCTTTATGTGATTGGCAAAAAATTTTTGTTTAAAGAGATAATAAAAGAGAAAAACAATTTCTTCCTAAATATAATTCTTTAATATTCAAGCAAAGCTTATTTCAGTTTCATAAGATTGCAATTTCATCGATGAATCTAGTATGCAATTCTAAAATAATTTTAAAATTAAAAACTTTGTCTTAAGAGCTCCCAAAATGAATAAACAAAAAAGGTTGCAGAATTTTATAAAATAAGCTACAACAAAGTTAAACATTACTTTTAATGTGCGCCTAAAATACGTTAAAATTTTTAAAGCAAAAACTTGCCGAGATAACGCTGACGGATAGCTTCATTGAGCTTCTCTAAATCTTTATCGGTTTCTCTTTCATCCTTCATTTCTCCATTACGATCACTTTTTTCCATCTCTTGACGCTTCTCACGACTACGACTCCGTCGTTCACGACTTCTACTTCGCCTTTCGCGGCTTCGACTTCTTCTTTCTCGACTTCTACTTCTTCGTCCTGAAGAAAGAAGAAGACAAAAAGTGTTCAGTAAGTAAAACGAAATAATCCGGTAATAAAAAGCCATCATCCAAAAAATTTTTCTTGATTAAAATTAAATAAAGACTACTGAGCTTTACCTTCTCGATCGCGACTCCGACTTCTACGTCCTCGATCCCGATCCTTTTCACGATCTGTGTCTTTTTCACGTTCACGATCACGTTCACGTTCACGATCTTTGCGTTCTTTTTCACGTTCTCGATCACGCTCCTTTTCTACAAAGCAAGAGGATAAAAAATGAAAACTCAAGCTACAAAGAAGCAAATTTATTTAAAGAAAAAAGCTGAGTAGACACAGAAACACTAATTGAATAAATGATATATTTGCTTTAAAAGAAGGAGAAGAAAAAAGAACGGGAGAAGGTCTATTTTAAAAATTATTGGAGAGAAGAATTATAAAACCTGTTCTTTTAGCATCTTGCATAAACGCTTTTCGTTTCTCAAGCTGTGCTTTTAGAGTTTCTCGTTGTTTTGCTACTTGTTCTTCACGTTTCTTCAGAGCAAGAGCTTCACGTTCAACACGTGTCAAAAATTTCGGCTACAAGAATTAAGTAATAAAATCTTAATAATGAAACAACAATCACTATATATATATATATATATATATATACATATACTGATGATAAATGATGGATCCACATTAATGTTCTACTATAAATATTGAGATTCAGAAAAATGAATCTTTTCATGAAAAGATTGCGGAAAAATACGCAAGAAAAACTTGGAAGTATCTAATCCTTTCATTTTAAGTTTAAATCCCTATATTTCTCTATATTCTACAAAAAGCTATGTAAGACTTCGAAATGTGTCTCCGAATCAGATGCTCACAAGCAGTTTGTACATTTTATAATTCATACTCGAAAATACCAACACTAACACTATCATCGCTCAAAGCGATAACTCATGATGTCACAGTAACCTTCAACTCATTATCAAAATTATATAGGAGAAATCAGAATTCAATATCCGCACCAATAATCTTTTTACTCCAAAATTTCACCACCTTTTACCTTCCTCTCCCACATTATTGATCTTTAAAAGAAATCAAAGGCACCACTTTCCTTTCAAAAATTTCAATGACAAATTTAAACAATACAAATCGATGAGCTATTAACTTGCTGCTATTTATTATTTATGAATTTCATAAGTAAGACTACCAATTTCCTAAAACCTTTCAGTCCAACTGTCATTTATTCAAGGCTTAAAAAAAAGCAAACAAATAAATGACGATGTGGAATCAAGATGCATACAATAAGTCATATCGCTTTAAAGTTTTTTTCTTATCACATCTAACTCATAACTGTAGTTGCTAAAGTTGTTAACTGCAAAGAAAAACTCAAGTATCAAAGTACTACTTGGCTTAAATTCAAGATATAAAATAATTCCTGGAAGAAAATTTAATAAAATGGACTAATACTATAACTTGTATGTAAGATTAATTTATATATGACATTCTACTTGTCAGATATGCATAGAAATGTTTAATGAAAACAATAATGACGTACTTCGAAATAAGTGCATTATTGCAGACAAGTTACAAAATAATATGACTTTATTAAATTTTTTTTATTTTCATGTGGCTATCGTATGAACAGATATTTGAAAAGAGGAAATAATGAATCTCATATTCATCTATAAAAGTAATCAAAATTTAATCCCTCTTCCACTCTTTTTTATATTCCTCACGGATCATAATAAATGATTTGATTCCACAATCAGAATAAGCGATGTTTGACATTTTATCAGTAACCCTAACAACTAGGACAAACTGTCCATTTGCATCTTTAATCAATTTTCTAACTAAAAAGTAAAATGAGAACACTCATTTTTTTTACCTAATGACGCTTAATTTAACTTTGATGTCTATGATTAATTTGTCAATTACAATCTTTTAATATTCGAGCAAAGAATATTCATTCCTTGCTTTACTGTGTAATAATTTTTCCTTCATCACTTCCTTTAATTTCTGTTCAGATTTACAGTATGAGAGCTTTAAAACTTCCACTTCCCTTTGTTTTAAAGTAGGATAAATATTAAAAGAAACTCAATTTCGAAAAATATTGTGAAACTAAGAATATCATTTGAAAGCCACAAAAAACGCTTATACTATCGCTGAAAAAAATAGTTATCATGGGAATAAGAGTGACAAATTAGTCTAAATTATAATAAAAAAATAAAGAATCGTTCCTTTATTTTTCGTAACATAATGACGAATAACTACAGAAAATGGGTACATTTATATAAATAAATATCATTGAAAAAAGGATTGTTTAACCAATAAGTGAATTAAAATAAATGGCTAAATGGCTAGTTGATACGGTTATTTCCATTTAAAGAGAAATAATTCCAATGAATGCAATAACAATAAGTAATAGCAGGAAATATCATTGAGCACTAACTATATATCAGAACAGATAAACAACATACCATCACACCGCAAAAAAAAATTAAAATTTGTTGCAATATTTCTTTGGAACTAGTGTGCCGTGTGCACCGATAGGATTTTTTATGATGATCTCTGACATTTATTATTGGAATGACATAGCGATAACGATAATTGTAATAACGGTAAATGTGAAAATAACAAAATACCTTTGTTTCTGCTTCCTCGAGTTCCTTCTTCTTAGCGATCAATTCTTCAATTGCTAATGGTTCCTTCCTTGTTGCAGACATCCTTATTTTGTTTTGTTTATTACTATTTTACTGAAATGGTGAAATTTTTATCAATTTATTTTCCACCATCACGACATATCACGATGGATGCGGAGGGATAACATCAAAATGGATGAGTGAATGACTGAATGGTAATAAAAAAGATGATAGTGATAACAGTAAGTTCAAAATTAATAATTAACAACATGGTAATATTCTGCAAAAGTCAAATAAAGGAGAAAATGATGAGCAGAAGTCATCATATGTGTGCACTGAAATATATTCTGGAAATGTGCAGGACGAGAAATCCCTTTGCTCCCTTTGCCTCTCCTCTCCGCTCCTACACACCCTATCAACGACCAATCATGAACAAATTTTATTCCCTTCATCATCAATAACTTCGTAACCTTCCCATCTTTCTGTTGCATACGTTCTCTTGAAAATACTTTTCATTAAATGAATAAAATCATTACTAACAACCACAAATGAACTTACGTACGGTTAACGTTATTGGTAGCAATGAACATCGAATCAAAATATTTTGGGGTGGGCAAGAAGGAAAAAGAAAAGTGAAGATAAACAAATTCCGAAAGTCATATGATTGGCCGATGATGGCTAATGGTCGATGCTATTCTTTGAATGAAATTTTTGGCAACATTTCAAAAAACGTTTCCGAAATTTCACTGAAACTTTCAGTGTGTGAAAAATAAAAATGTAACATTAAAATTATGTATAATTTCAATACGTGATTTTTCCAGTATGTGATAACGAAAAAACAGTGATACAGTATGATTTTTTGCCTTCAAGTTAGCATGTATTAATTATTTCTTGATAACATCTTCAAAAAAATTTCATCACACCTTACTTTTATTATCGTAAAATAATGCAGCCATTTAGTAACCGAATAAATTATTTCTCATCACAATAAAACCAATACCCATTGTTGTTGTCATTTCAGCTTAACCTCTCATCTAAATTGAAACGATCATTTCTGGTTTAAAAAAAAAAATCGGACTTGTTCAAACCATCCCATTTCTTGATACCAATGCACTTTACTACACATATATCATACTTCCACCTTCTCATTCAACCGATTTCCCCCGTTTCTTTTTAGAGCTGTAAGCGGCGTGAAATCGTCGCAAGAAAGCTAGCCGGACGAATGTGAGATGTATTACGATGCTGCTGTGATACTTTCAATTCAGCTTTGCAGTAATACTTCAAGCTAGCGGCAAACATCTCCTCCTCTCTTTCCCAACAAATTTCAACATTCTGTTCTTTCAAGTCGAACATCAAGTAGCAAATATTGATGCAAGAATTCATCGCCTTCTCTTTCATTCCTTTCCTTTCAACTAACAAATTTTTATATATATACATATATACACACCGATTCCTCTCCGTGCCTAATCCGTATTTATACAACATACATAACACATTAACATACACGTCACACACACACACACACACACACACACACACACACACACACACACACACACACACACATACACACACAAACGCAATACACGCATTCATAACTGTCAACATTTCACATTTTTCCTTCCCATTTATCGATTCTCCTTCACAAATGTCATAAATACCTGCCTTCATCTGTTTGTCCACACTAATATATATGTATAATATTACACATGCATGAATGTACCGATGTATATAACTTACACGTCTGCCTGTCTATATGTATTTGCATTTCATTTGTCCCTTTTCTCTTGTAAACTACCAATTTTTGGCCCTTTCGAGCGCTTTTATCTTTCAATTATTTCAGTGTTTAGTTTGTTCACATGTTAACATGCAGCGCATGTATATACACTTTTACGTAAACATACATATTTATAGTGAATATATTCGTGTTATGGAATATCGTAATTGTAAAATATAAAAATGGAAATCATACCATACCTTACTGTTTACTTCTTTCATTTGAATGCTCTTAGTATGATTACAATCGTCTATCGTACACTCTGATCCCTTCAAAAAAATATAACTTTTTTCCTTGCCCTCACGCTTAAGTTTTTTTTTTTCATATTTCGTAATTCAAGAGAAGAGCATAAAAAAGCAAACAGAACACAACGCAATAGCAACTGAAGCAAGGAAACGAAATTAGAAATACTTTTTTAAAAAAAATGCACCCGATTTGCCAACACTGCATTATCCCTCTCGTATAACCTATAAACTTGCCTTCCTTTCATTCTCATTTCCTCTCTTTCCCGTCTGATTCATTTCATTTTTTTAAGAACATGGCCTCTCTGTTTTGAAATTTTCGAAGAGAAAGAAAAAGAAAGGAAAAAAACTTTTTTCCCGAAGAAAACAAAAACCGAAAAGGAATGTTGCGAAAAAGCAATCATTTTGTATGCAAACCAATTCTTTATTAACTCTTGAATATTACCAATATATCACTATGTTAATTAATACTTTTAACTCTTGAGAACAAAAAACATTACTGCTCATCATTACATCTCCTATAAATTAATCATCCAACACTCTTCAGAGAACTTTTCTCTTCATTTTATATCCTAAATGTGAAATTTTCATCAATCCCTATATCTCATAGAAACCATCGGGTAATCCATCACTTCCAATTTTCACCTCTCTTCATAATATGCAACGTAACCCTGAAAGCAACATTTTCATTTTGTACTTTGCTCTTTTGCTTTTTTTTTGATGAAAATGTCAAAAAAATTTAAAAAGCCTTTGAACAGCTCTGACGATCATTGCATTTAAATACTTCACAATTGTCTGCACAATTTTTGTATTTGTTTAAAATCTCGTGAAAGAAAGCCGAAATAAATATCATTAAAGTTTTAATAAAATAAAAAAATATTGATATGCAAAATGAATAAAGGAAATATTATCTTATCAACTTCACTGACCCATATTGAATAAGAAGGATAAAACAAAATATCTATCCAGATCAGCCGTACAAATAAATGTAATATTTGTCGTACAAATATTACATTTATTTGTACGGCCAAATAGATCTGGATAGATATTTTTAAACATCATGATAAGATCACTGAAAGGTGTCAGCACTTATTGCCTTTTTATTTGAAATTTTTTTCAAATAATTTAGGTAAGACCGCAATGAAAAGATATGGAAGGACAAAAAGTTTCCAAAGTGAAATATTTCATATCTTACTGCCATGACAATGAATTAAATGATCATAGCGTATGCGGAAAAAAATAAAATATATTTATAATACTTTTACAGTGGATTATCTGATCACATAGTGCACTGCATCGCGTAATATACACACAACTATATGCCAGAAAAGGCTATGGTTCTGTAGATTAAAAAAAATCCACTAATAAATTTACTTTTAATCACCATTTATTAAGCGTTTTTCTATCAAAATATGTTACGCTACGATCCATTACTTGATAATGTGATAAGAAAATATCAATTAGGTTTTGCAAGTACTACTGATGCTAGTAAGTATCACGTTGGACCATCAATTAAATTTAGGGAACCTCATTGGATATATGCAAAATATGCGAATTAACAAAACTAGTCGAAATTAAGGGAAGGGCAGGTAAAAGTGAAGCAAAAATGAAACGATTTAATCCAAAAAATGAGAGAAATTAAAGAAAGCAAATGAGCCTGAAGATTACAGAATTCATTAAAAAGAGTTGCAAGAATTTTTCACTTTTTCCTCTTTCGCTTGAAATTTAATTTATATAAAAAAGAAATGGGAACTACTTAGCATAAAGAAAGCAAGCAGCTATATAAAATTTTTTCTCGCAACACACTGTGACTATCAGAACTAATAATAATAGAACCTGATTTCGATGACTGAAAAAAATGTAGTAAATACATCTGTTACAGTTTCCTTTCCATTGAAAAGTCAATGGAAAACCGGTATAATTTTAGTGTTGATGAAACGGAAAAAAGAAAAGCAAACATACAAACGAGGAAATGAGAGGCTTCATTACAGTCTTCCAAAATGCTGCTAAGGCCCGTGAATAAGGAACAATATACTTAACAAAATTAAAATGAAAACTATTGATGCTGAACTCTTCTCTTTTCTTTTCACGAGTTTGATTTCTTTTCAGTTTTATACTTCGTTGTACACCATAAATTCATTGACTCTTCAAATTTAATTTTATCCCAAGTTCCTTTATATTATTATTTTTAAATACTTTTTTAAAATGAATCCAATATCTAATACCACATTTTGATCATATTTGAATTTGCATACACTCTTAAATTCAAGTGAAATTTAACTACTTGTTTCGATAGCATGAACTTCAACTTATGTTGTCCTTATTTTTGATTACTTCCACTAGTATTTTATTCTTTTCAAAATGAAATTTGAATCATTTCCTGAAAAATGATATCGTTCGCGTGTTTCTATCAAATTCCATTTCATGCCTCAATATAACTTTATGACTGATCCTTATAATAATGGAGAGAGTTTCTATACATTTACGTTACGCTAAACAATGAATTATTAGCTTCTACCACATCAAAAAAAACGGATTTGCTCGTAAATACCCGGTCTTTTGTTATAATTCGTCATTCTTTTGATCTTGAATATTTTTTTTAGCTATATTCACTTTTTAATTTCTGTTATACAGTGAATATTTTAATCATATTCATTTGCGTATTTTCTATATTAGATATTGGGTTCAGTTTAAGCTCCCAAGAATTTTATTTTATACTTATTGTCTCAAAAAAGTATTAACTTTAAATTAATAAATGAATGATCTTTACAAGTGAAATATGTCTCTTGACGGAAAGGCTAAGATTGTAATGACTTGGAAATTCGACGTAAATAAGAACGCAGTCTAACCAAGGGAATGAAATGTTTAGTGTAACAGTTTCGATTCATCAGATGCTACGGAGAAGATTTGTCTTCCATAACCGCACATGGTACAGTTACCTTCTCGCTGCCACTACGCCGATGACTGCTTAAAACCAAAATAATACTGCTACAAAGCGTTATGTCAGAAAGACAATGATAATCAATTTACGAGTGATAATTATTGCCATTTGTAGTGTTGACACAAAACAAGGAGAATCAGAGAACGATAAAAATTCAAGAAGTATTAAACAATATAATTAAAAGTATAGGAAATGGTGCGATAAAAATGGATGGGATAAAGCTGAATAAGGTTTTTAAATCTTATTCACTTTTTTCCTGTCCATACAGAGATTAAGAGCAAAGTAAAATTGGATTGTTTGTCGAAGAGAAAGAGAGTAGAGCGATTGATAAGAGTTTACTAGAGAGATAGCAGAGATTATTATCGAAATCCAAACTGGAAAGTGAAATACGTTAGCAATGAAAGTGAATCAACTAAAACCCAATAATCTTTGAAGAAATATAATGGGCTTACTTTCATTCCGGTTCATATTCAGGTTGCTACGTGAGGGTTTCTAAGTGACTAGAAATTTTGCATTTTGTAGGTCGTGAAGTAATGCTTGAGATAATTGAAATAAAATCGCTAAATTATGACTTAATTCTTAAACTGAAATAATCAGAAAATCCGAAAAATAAATTAAATTTACAAAAAGTAGCTTTTAGTGGTACCATACACTATTATTACAGGTATAAATTTAGATTTTAAAGCAATTTTAAAAGTGAAATAACTAAGCAGGTTTAACCAGTTAAAATGCAATAATAAATGCTTTAACCAAAAGCAAGTTAACTTTGAAAAATTTTAGAAAACTTAATCGAAAGTTAAATAACTTGAAAGCATAGTAATTCTTGGGATAATTGGAAGATATGCTTCACTAATTAAGTCGCTCAAATGTTCGACACTGGTTTTGTAGTTACTTTTATTCTGTACTTTTTTTGTTCGTTTTGCAGTTATTTAATACAGAACCATGATCTCTTCTATGACAAGAATATTACGGGCTACATTTTCTTCTAAACGTGTAACACTTCCTGATGGTCCTTCATTACAAGATTTTATTGAAGCAGGTTATTTTTTTTTAATTTTTGCTCTCCTTTTAGCATTTCTCAAATGTCTCTGAGACGTCGGGTTAAGTCTTCACTTTTTTTTGCTTGTTCGTTAAGGATCATTTTTAGTTTTTCCTTATTAACGTAGCATTATATTCGGATTAGATTTGTAAATGAATTTTTGGTTTATAACATTATTTTGGGTATCTGAAAAGGTACAGTGCAAATGAATAGTGTTATATGCATTACTTTTATTATTTATTTTTTTTGTATCGAAGGTAATGTAATCTGTTTTATCTTTTCCCAAGAAAATTTACCGTTACTTTTTTTGAGGAAATTCGAATGATGCTATGGAAAAATATGGAATACAGATGAAATTGGAAACTAATGCTAAAAGACTACGTTTACCGCCATGGCTAAAACGTAGCATCCCTTCCATGGACAATACAAATTTCACGCATCTGAAAAAACAAATGAAGAATTTAAAACTTGCAACGGTGTGTAATAAAATTTTCCAGACTTTTATATTTTCGTTTTTTTAGCTTTTTGAACTTGTTTTATTATTTCACTATCTGGAAATGCTTACAAGTCATTAGAGCAGTCTATTTGTTTTAAAAGATTTGAGTGATTTTTATTAGTGGACTTAGTCCAAGCTTTTACTAATATTTTTAGTATCGTTTCGATTATATTATAATATTTATTTGTATTCATAAAATATGTAAAGCCATATTCGCGATAGCAAGATGATGGAGTTAATTTTAAAAATTTACAGGTTTGCGAGGAAGCTCGATGCCCTAACATTGAAGAATGTTGGAGTGGCTCGAAGAATGTGCCATCAACAGCAACCATTATGTTAATGGGTGATACATGTACTAGAGGATGCAAGTTAGTTACTTTTTTTCCAAAATTGTACGTGAGAGATAATTATACATTTGAAAGCGAAGTATGTCACGACTCATCCAATCATTTCATATAATTACTCTTGTATTGGCAGTAATAGTAATGGTTTGGTTTTGATGATCTCTCAAGATAAATATTTAAAATTTGCAGCAAATGTTATGAGCATTTCATAGTTGTTCTCCTTCCTAAGTATCGGAATTGAAAATGAATTGAAATAATCATTTCTCTATAAGAGATGCTTATCTTTCCATCGCTTTTCAGATTTTGTTCTGTTAAGACATCACGTAAGCCACCTCCACTAAATCCCGAAGAGCCAATAAATACAGCTAAAGCTGTTGCCGAGTGGGGAATTAGCTATGTTGTACTCACATCTGTAAACAGGTGCATGATTGCTGATCTCGCATTTTTTAATGGTTTTCAACTTTTCATTATTTATAAGGCATTTTAATTGAAATTCCAGTTAATGAAATTGAATTTCAGAGATGATATTGAAGATGGTGGTGCATCCCACATAGCAGCAACCGTGCAATATCTAAAACAAGAATGTCCAGAAATACTAGTAGAATGTCTCGTACCCGATTTCCGCGGTTTATTGAGCTCCGTCGAGACGATTGCTTCTTCCGGATTAGATGTTTATGCTCATAATATGGAAACTGTGAGAAGGTTAACACCATGGGTACGAGATCCGAGAGCTACCTATGACCAATCGTTAAAAGTTTTGGAACATGTGAAGAAAGTAAGTTTTTAAACTGATGATTTTTTTGATTATTGTTATCGTATTTGGCTTTTCTTCTCCACGAAAATATTTGTTATAATCATGTGAAATTTTTAGTTTCATGCAGATATTATCACAAAAACATCGCTAATGCTTGGTTTGGGGGAGACAGATGAAGAAATTTTGACAACATTACATGATTTACGTGAAATTGGTAAGGATTGTTTTTGTTTCAAATAAAGATTTTTGTTGATGATGTTTTGGCAAAAAATAAGGGAATTTACATACAAAATAAAAAGTCATTCTATAAAACATTGGTTTCTTAATTCACACTCCGAATTAGCTCTTTAGCCAATATTTCGTTATGATGAACACTGCATAATTTAAGGTAATAAGCTGCCCAAAAGACGCGACATTCATTAATAGACGAGGACATGTTTTAAGCATCAAATTTTTTATGTTCTTTGAAACATGATGAAAATTTTCCCTTTGGTTTTATATTCATATTAGTGGAAATTTCGCAAAGAGAATAAATTATAACTGAAGCAAGTAGGTCCATACATCTTCTGTGCAAATATTAATTCGAAATTCAAATTCCAGGTGTAGATGCACTTACATTCGGACAGTATATGCAACCTACTAAAAGACATTTATTGGTAAAAGAGTGGATTACTCCAGAAAAATTCGAAAAATGGCGTGAGGTGGGAGATAAAATGGGATTTTTATATACAGCAAGTGGTCCTCTCGTACGATCATCTTACAGAGTAATATATTTGTATTTTATATTTCTAGTGCTCTGAAATCCTAAAGTCTTTGAATTGTCTATTAGTATAAGATTGGGTGTAGTGTAAGATTGACTAGAATTTCATTATAATTTAACATTCATGCGAACACTTCATCTTTAGAGAATTTATGATCTGTATGAGTTGTGAAAAGGTGCTTTACTTTAACTCTATTTCAGGCCGGTGAATATTTCTTGGGAAGGGTTGTGAAGAATCGCAAACGAGATGTTCAGAAAAATTAGTGCCATAAATTTCATGCTCATAGTTTTAGTTCGTTTATGGGTTATATGTTTGCTTATCTTATATTATTTTATTATTTTTTCCTGTATGTATCATTTGCTACTTGTTATTAAAAGGACTGAAGTAAATTTTCAAACAAAAGGAGTTAAATTAGCGAATTTGAATAGAAACCGAAAGAATTGATTCTATAAAATAGACTGTTGATGAAACACAGCTTATTACTGAAGGTACTAAAGTAGTTTTTCAGGTAAAGAAATAAATGGAAATCTATGTATTAACTATTTTAAAGAGGAATTCCTATGAAATCAATATTCTCAGAATAGATATTGATCAAATGACTTTAATTTTAAATAGGAATTTTCTGATCGCTTAGGTGTTTATACGCATATTTTCTCCAGTAAATTTGAAAGATTTTAGTAATTTAGACCACTTAGATTACAATTCTTTCATGTTTTTCAAGCTGTGCGTCTTTGGAAAATTCCTAATATTTTGCAATTTCTCTCGGCATATACATATATAGTTGCTCAGAAATTCAATTTGTATGAATTCCCATTTAAATTTATACTGCGAAATGCTTTCCGTTACGAAAATGACGATTATGTGCATTGATTATATTAAACTATGAAAGCAGATTATAAATGTGTTCATTATCTGACATACTCCTCTTTCGATTTTTTGTTGCTTCAATCAAAATATGTAGTTGAAATGAATAACAATAAATCAAACAAGCAGTCAATAAAGCAATTGACTGCTGATTGCAATTAAAACAGTATCAGAAAACCCTTTAATTGTATCATTCATTTTTTTTGTATGAAAAGCCGTTTCGAGGATAAGGGAAATAAGATGCGAACGTTCCTGGAAAGTGGTGTTTAAAATGCTTATTTATTAAGGCTATTAAACAATTTTTTTCTAGATCTCTCCAACGCTATGAGTAGTATGCTGACGGGTAGAGCACGTGTTGTATATGTTGGTGATGAATTTATTCATTTGTCGAAAGGCGGTTTGGATGGTAAAATTGTTGCATTTAAGGATTCATGGCTTGCAAGCAGTTATGATTTGCAGGATTGGGTCACTTTTAAGGCGAAATCGTACGAAGCCGTAAGTTTTTATGTTAAAATTGATATTTTTTCCTTCGATAACAGTTTTCTTCTCCAACAGTTTAAAGTTGTCCAAAAAGAAAAGAAAATGGAAACTATAAGGAGAAGGGCTTAGTTTCGTGTATTTCAGTTCCGTTTAAATTTTTATTAGACTTTTATTTTACTAATTTTAAATTTAATCCCTTTGTTTATAGTTTTCATTTTATTGTAATGTATAATTTGTTCCTTGCTAATGCTAAGAAATTTATCCTTTTGTATTCTCTATTAACAGGTACAGTGATACTTATCAAACAATAAGCAAATCACTAGCATTTAAGTGAAATCTTAACGATTAGTCGCTAACTTCATAGTATTGTCCAAATAATTGAAATTATAGCATGTTAATACCGACTTTTTTATAAATGAAATTAGAGTCTGAATATTGCCGTCTATTCGTTTTAGTTCTTTTTCATCTTTTCTTTCTTTTCGCCCTCTCGAAAATTGAATAGATTTGCCATATTTTTTTTTGTCGGAAGTAGCATGCGGGATATGGATATTTGGAAGTTGTTGTTTGTGAAAGTTGTACTCTCCATGTGGCTGTTATTTTAATGCAGTTATCGCTTTATTTTAATTTTCCAAAGAGATCTACTGTCCATATGTGGTCGTGAAGAAAAAATGAGCTTGGTCGTCCTACAGATTGGCATTATTATTTTGTTGTAAAATCGCTTGCTTTTTTCTTTTTCTGTAATTAATTTGGATCTTTGAAATTCTGTCAGCATATATTTTTATTGGTATGTTTATAGGAACCTCCTCATTGTAATTTTGGTGTTCGATTCAAAGCTCTAGCAAAGAGTGTAAAATTTGAATCAAAAGCCGTGATGTCGGAAGGTATTGGAACATTTTTTAAAGTAGACGAACATCAGGGCCAATATGGTTTTATTACGGTATGTTCCAACAAATCTTTCGATAAGTAGAAGGTAATATGCACTTAACTTGTTTTTACTTCGTCTACTTCGGTTATTTGTTTGCAATTAATTACAGTATCCGATCATAAATGATCATAGAAATTAACTCTTCTGTCTACTCTACAATTTATTTTTAATGTTTGATGCAGAATAAAAAAGTTAAATATTATTTAGAGTTTAGTACTTAAATGTGTTGCTGCTCTCCCATCTTCACTAAAAATTGCAATAATTCAAGATTTGTTTTTTATTACAATTCAAGTATAGTTCCACCTTATTCTGTCCCAAACTGAATACGCTCTTTAAAATTTATGTGTTAAAAGTGCTCTTTATTAAATTTTATTTAGACAAATGATGGTAACACTGTTTATTTTACCGCAAGTGTTGTTCGCCCAGAAACACAAGTAAATCGTGATTTTATTTATTTATTTTTTCATATATGTAATTTTTCGAAGGAAGTAGCATTAATTTTCTTAAAGAATTACATAAATCTCTTCAGGATCTTGCGAAATTTTGTAAAAAATTATCAGACTAAATGGAATAATGCTGATCTTTTTCAGGATATTCGTAACGCGTTTAAAACTGGTACCCAAATAAGATATAAGGCAATTGAGCAGAAACAAAATAACTGTCGTTGGAGGGCAATTGCTGTTTGTAACAAAAATGTTACATTTGAGAACTTTTCGTCTAGACAACAAAAGCCTATTGAGTCGTCGAATAACAAGTAAATATATGAAATTTCTTAAAATTGTTCATTAAAAATACCGATATTTTATATTTTATCAAATTTTCGGAGGAATATCATCGTATACTGATTGCATTATCCACCTTTGGCCATTGCAAAATTTAATGTTTGTGTTGGATTTCATGGAAGTTTTAAAATTTCAGACAAATTACTGCAGCTGTTATAAAAAAGATATCTCAAAGCTCCGCACCAGCAGCTAATGCTGTGACGAAGCATATTGCAAACAATGATATACATCCTAATGGCCTGGTAAACAAATTTGACTGATATGATATTCTTTCGGGCGAGTTTATACGTTGATTAATAACTCAACGCGATGCTATACTTCCTCCAATTAGTTAACTTTTTATTTTTAATATTTTACTATGATTTTAGCAGACTACGATGTGGGCGACAACTAATTTGCCTCACAATAGTAGTATACAGTCGATGAAACAAGTAAATTCAGCAGTTGATTCGCGTTCGAGCTCTGTTTCTCGTTCCGAAACATCGGGTGTTATGGGCTCCAGTCGGTTGTCGTCTACTTCTCTGCTAACGACGAATGCTTTACCATCAGCTACATTTTCTGAGTCAACTGGAAGTATGTTTTTGATTATATTGTAAAACTTCTTCTAAGATCGAATTTTTAGAGAAAATCTTTTAAAATTTTCGAGATTTCTTTTAAAGAAATTTTTTAAATTTTTAATGCGAGACTAAATATTTCCAACGATCTGCAAGGATTTTTGTTTTGTTGATAAGGATTTTTGTTTTTGTTTTGAAGGCAGTAGATTAACATAATTAATATTTCATTTCGAAATATTCTATTAAATTTTTTTTATTATTCTGTTATCAGTTCCTTACCACATATACTTTGATAGTAAAACTTATTTGATCCGTAAATTTCTTTGATTTCATTTGGAAAGAGTAATTCTGGATAGAAAATTTGGATAATTTAAACATTAGATTTAAATGACAGTCTCATTTTTTTTAGCTGGTGATGCTTACGAAGATGCTGTCCGACTCATGGCATATTTTAGGCACTTAGTAACTGAATGTTCATGTCAGTCATGTGTTTTACGTTAACGATCTCTTTCTGACTCATTCATGATTTATCTAACTTTAGCTTTATTATGCATTCAATGCAATGAAATATGCAATCGGAACTGTTTTATTAGTTTATTTACTATGAATTTGATTCTTTCCTGAAAATATAACTTTCCAGGTTGCAAAATGCTTTACATTTATTTATTATGGTGCAGCATTTCTTTTGTCACACTAACATTCTATTAGACATATTTGTTGATGTGTTCTTAAACTTGAGATTAAATTGAATTTTAAACTGCTTAAATTTAATTAAATGATTTTCTTCATAATATATTCGGATATATAATTTGAATTATTTTTTTTTAATTTGGTCATCTACAAATTTCAGGTGTGGGAGAGAGTTTTTAGCAGAAATTTTAGCATAAAATGTTTATCTTCAAATCTGAATTAATTGATCTAAACTTATGATGTCTTTTTATTTCCTCCTATTGTAATCAAAGCTTATGAATTCTTTAATCTACAGAAAATATTCTTCTACTAACGCTTTATCGCCGAAAATAGATGATCTCTTGTTGACGATACATCTGTTTATATATATTAGATGTGAGTGAACATTAGCTTTCCGAAAGAATCTCGTAATGACTGTCATTTAATTCGTTTAATCCATCTTCTGTTTATCGTCTTTATCGTATGCAGCAGGCAAATCCTTTTCTACATAATTGTGGAATGTTCTCGTAATTGGTGTACTTGTAATAATGCTCGATCGTTATTGAACCGATACGACATTGTCTTTTAATAAATTGCATTAAATTACATATTTATCAGATAAAAGTTTATAATTTTCATTCATTCTTTCCCATGATTCAATTTACATTAAAAAGTTTTCTTCATCTTACAAATTTATACTTTAATTTAATTTAATTTAATTTTTTCTTCAGAAAAAAACCAATAAATTGTTGCTACGAGTAAGTTTAATAGCTAATACTAAGAGAGTGCTATGTGGTGATTTTGAATCTAAAGTGTTATATCCAGCTATTTTCTTACTTAAATTCATCCAAATTTATAATAAAGTTGGTTTCTAAGGATTTCAGAATTAATAGCTCTTGGAAAAGGAAAGTCTGTGTTATAACAATTTTTGATGTATTTATAATATGATAAGAAAGTGAATGAGATTGGGTTTCACGGGATACCTATCCCTAATCACTTGTTCATATAATTATGTTTCATGCTGAAAGAGTTGATCGATTCGAAGTTGGATAATTTGAGTAAGAATGAATTTTCTTATTTCAACTCAATTTTGATGTAACCATTATTTTTTGAAGATAACGCAATTATTGTTCATAAATTATACAAATACGCTCAAAGATGTTTCATTTTATTACAGATTTCCGCCAAACAATGCCGATTGAAATAGTGGCAAAATTGGATCGCGAATCCGCGGTATATCTTGCCGGAGAAGCTATACAGTGCAAAGTATTTTTGCATCTTTTTTATTGATCGACATCAAATGAGTCATATAACAATCATTCATTTTTAATTTTATCCATGTTAGATTAAATGAGCGGATATTTATGTAAAGCAGGTATTTTAATCTAAATTGGCAGATAAGTACTGCTTGACTAAGACATTAATATTATCAATTTTTGAGCAAATTTTTTTGGGTAAGCGGTTTAAGCTCTTCTTACTTTCTAAAGCTCTGCTTCTTGTTAAACACGACATTGTCTTTCATTAAATTACGTTTAAATCATATATTTGTCGGTTAAGCATTAATAACTGTCATTCACTCTTATCCGTAATTCAATTTACATTAAAATATTTTCTCCACCTTTTTATTTTCCAAATTATTTTCTTGCGAAAGTTCTCGAAAGACATATAATTTTTTAAAACTGTCATGTTCATGATATGTCATATTGAAGCAGCGCCGTTGTAGTGTTCTTAAATAATACAACGTTGTTCCTTTCCTAGGTAACAGTGCAAAATATTGGTAATGATGAGGAATCCTTGGCGTGGGGAAGTGTTCATGTACAGTGCGAACGGATTGTCCGGGCTAGTATGGTCCATATTCCCCTATCGAAGAAAAGTTCAGTGGAAGGAAAATCTAAAGGGATCGGAACAACTGCAATGTCAAGTTCCGCTTTTACTGTATTTTCTTGCCGACCGGTTATTCTGTTTTGTGAATTAGTCCTAAATGTCGGTGAATGTCGTAGTTTTGAATGTACGCAACAATTACCATTGGACTCCATACCGCCATCATTCAAGTTTGTTTTTATTTCGCTTTATTTCTTACAAATTCCTCGTAGTTATTTGAAATTTCTTGAAATCTTTTTTTTACGCTGCGTATCCCGTTTTTTCAATTTTCTATATGGCACATTTTTAGAGGACATCTTGTGCGCTATATCTATAAATTGACACTTGGCGTGCAGCATGTTAAATCACCAATCAAACTGATACATATTCCTTTGCGAATCATACAGGCTGATCTTGGATTGACGTTACCTTCTTCACCAACGCTCGTGAACCCTTTCATCAGTAATCATAGTGTTGGGTAACTGCTTTATTAAAACAAGATTTAGTAGTATTTTCCCTTGTTTATGAGATGGATTACACATGTAATTTTCGGGCTTAATTAACTTCTCATGTCGAAATGTTCTTCATCGTTAATGAACATTTCGACATGAGAACGATGATTAATTACTTTTAATTAATGGGGTATAAAATAAAAGTGGATGGTGACGCACCGAAGGATGCAAAAATTGCTAATAAATTCGGTGCAGGAAGGTGTAGGTTTGTGTCACACGGAGCATGTATTTGTTGACGATAAAACCAAATTCATTCGAGAATTGGTAGTAAGTGACAATAAAAAGGAAAGGGCAAAAGAAAAGCAAGCATATTAGAAGAAATGCAAGAGTCTAATTCCGGAAAAAATGTTTTGTATTATGGAGGGCACGGATGTTATTATGTTGATTGATCCATTAATTATGAATAATTCTTTTTCTAATTGAATAATCGCTACTTGATTTTTTTTCAAGTAATCCTCTCTTGCAGACCGTCGATTGTTGATTTAGCTATGGAAACTATCGATTGCTTAACAGCACCTCACGGAGCCTATAGTTACAGTATAACAAATGCATCTGGTCGAGTTGCCAGTTTTTCACTCAATAAAAAAGCATACAAATTGGGAGAAGATGTTATCGGAAGGTTTAATTTCGATAATTACACCGTACGATGCCTCCAGGTTTATATTTCACATTTTATTAGAAATTGAGAAAAAGTATTGCGAATATGCCCGATGTAACACCTCTCCTTATGTTCTATCAACTTTTTGGCTTACATTACAATAAATAATATATATAGATCAAAGATGTGTTGAAAATCGCCTGGGTAAGTTTTCTGCGATACTAAAATTGAGAGGTATGACCATGCACAGGACTCAACGATTGCAGATGAATAGTGAGATATGTGCCAGTAAACCAATTAATGACCTCAAGCAAGCGAGAATATCATCTCATCATAATTTCAAACTATGCATATCCCCAAATATTTTTGCTATTCATTCGAGAAAACGATTCCCACAATGCGAAGTTAATTAACTTCCAAAACTATCAAGTGTAAGTTAATTAACTTCCAAAACTATCAAATTACACTTGATTGTTGAAATTAATTTCTAGTTTGCTGTCAGTTTACAATCAGTTGAAAACTTGGTAAACGAAGAATGGTGTTCACATACATTTGTAACCACCCATATGACTCAGCATATTGTTTGTGCATATTGGACCGAAGCAACAATACGACTGCATATACCGCTCTCTGCGACATCTACTTTTTATACCGATACGGGCAAGTTTTAAATAATTGAGGATTTCAAACTTGTAAGTCCCGCTTAGAGTATACCTATCAACTGTCATTTGGCAGCAAATGAAGCAATTTACGATATCTTCACACATTTAACTTATAAAAGTTGCATATTTACAATTATAAAATTGACGTCGATAAAAGAAGTGAAAATATTAATACAAATCTAAAATTATCTTCTCAGTTATATTTTGTGTATTCCTATTATCTGCACCCGTCAGTCTTAGGTTTACATATTTATAAAAACTTTGATTTATTCATTTAGTTTATACTTTCTATGTAGCCTATTTCCCACTTCAGCATATTTTTTAGTGCATTTGAAATGGCGTCTACATTTCGAATTTGTAACTTGTAATGATTTTAATGAAGAAGTTGAAGAAGGCCTTTGGCAAGCACCGGCAAATATCAACATAGAAACTATGTCGTGGGATTTAGATATCAAGGTCAATGGTATTTCCAAATATCAAATAATTCTTATTTTTCCCAATTTCATCAGCTTTCCATTGAATATAACGTTCACATAGTGTGACCAATTTCAGATTTTCCCATGTAGTCCACATAATGCGGCCCTCACACTACCGAGTCCAGCTGCTCCTGCTTCCATTGTTGTTTAATTTATGCCGCAAGGCTAAGATGTAAGTTTTTCTGCTATTATGCAAAATGGAATACTGAAAAGGAACTATGATAGCGATTTTTTATGTATGTAACCAAATAAGGTCAACAGTGAAATGGAATTTTGCGCAATTTATAGGTCGCCCGAACTACAATAACTTACTCCAAAGGGAGAATTAAACCTAATACTTTCACAGTAACTAACAATTTATGCCGATTCGAAATTTACGGTGTAATTGTTGAAAGTGCAGGAAGCAATAAGGGAAGCTTGTGGTGAGAAATCCGCATCGTATAACAGTTTTTCCCCTAGTTTATTATTTTCCTGAAGAATATCAAAATTCTCCTTTCTGATTATTGTCCAACCACCGTACATGCAAGAGACAATATAGGAATTTTCATCTGCAATACGTATGCTCCATGCACTACCATTCATCTGAAATGAATGGTATTTTTTGTCTGTAATTATGTATTATTGTTTTTGATTTTTCGTTTTTAAATATTTCCTTCTGAGACTCTTCACTTCACTGAATTAAATTTTAAAATTTAAAGTTGAAATAATCTACCAAAATAATTCCACAATTGACGGTCTAAACGCCTTTTTGAATGGAATTAGCTAAAAGAATTTTAAAAGATACACAACTTTAATTTCTAATCCAAGCTAAGGATTTTATGTACGAAATTCTAGCTTAAGAAGCACAGTTCTTTAATCAGCTATCCCATTCTTTCGGTATCACCAGGACAAATTTGCAGATTACCGAATTTAAAAAATAAACTTTTTTGTCAAGAATGCATTGGACGAAATTTCTGCGATCAATACGGCGTACGTGATCATCATAAGAACCACTGACAACGTATTCTGAATTTTCCTTATGAAGAGAAATGACGCCGCATCTATGTGTCTTGTTAACATTAATTGGCTGTTTAGTATCTGACCGTAAATCCCATAGTTTTAGTAAATTATCTTCGCCACCCGATAGGATACAATTGATATCGAGCCATGCCGTTGTCCAAACCTCACACGGCTTATCGGTATATGGTGATATATGTCCCAAAAAGGAGGAAGATATATTTCCTGAAAATGAAGAATACATAAGGAACTTAAGATACGGAATCGCACTTGCTTGAAAGCTGTAAGAAGGAATGCACAAGTAGATAATTCAATTGCTCGAAGAATACTTTTTCCCGCTACCTTTCGACTTAAATATCCAATTCTATAGGACCCTATAGGAAATATCCAATTCCAATTCTATAGGAAATATCCAATTCTATGGGGAGGTATAGGATTTTCGTAGGATCCGAAGATATTAAATATCAGCAATCAGCTTGTGCAGACTTGAACCGTGGATTTCTCGCAATATCTGTTGTTCATTTGAACTAACTAATCATTGCTAGTTATATTTCAAACATTAATCTACGTCAGATCATTACTTCTACGTTGCTCAAACAGTCATAGAGTTCGAATAATAATGATCTTAGTCCGAATAATAATAATGATCGTAATAGTGATATTTCTTGTTTTCTGTACAAGAAATATCATTACTACGATATGGTAATGATATGATATAATGATATGATATGACATAATGATATAATGATGAAAATATCTTCCTAAGAAATCAATTCTTCAGCGCCAGAAACTATTTCATCTTGTGCTATTCGATTTTGTAATGGACATATTGCATTGAAATATCACATATTACAACGTTATAATTAATATGTCATGCCATTATATGCACTTTTATAGTTGGAGATAAAATCTAAAATATTGATATTTTCAAATTCCATGCATATGGCATTAAGACCATTTTTTTGAAGAACAAATCATGTTTAATGATTAGATATAGATATCCAGCCATAACAAGAGATTTTAAATTAAATTAAATTTTAAAAGTACTGTTCCAACTCTCACAGCATCAAAATTTAAGCTTTAATATAAAAAATACCCGTTTCTAAACTAATAATATGCACTGCCCCATAAGCATCTGAGCTGAGTGCAAAACTCCCACAAATTGCAATCGAAAGTAAAATCGTCTTTTTGGTTATTGGCAAAATCTGCACAGTATCCAAATCACTATCGACCACACCAATTGATCCGTTTGTTAAAGCAGAAATAATGTGTCCATCAGGTAGTATAGCAAAACGAAAAATTCCTCCAGGTAAAGCGACTAACTTATCCACTTTGTTCCCGTGCAATTTATATATGCTACCGGAATAATCATTATTATCATGCAGCTGATAAGTTCCAACAATACATTTCACTGATTTTTTCTCTATGAATTCCAGAACAGTGGGTTTTTCATGGAGGACGAGCGAGCAGGACTGCATAATTGAAATTTTTTAAGCTGGAATTCCAGAATCTAAAGATTTAGTTTGAAAAGTAGTATATTTCCGAGAACTGCAATAAATTATTGCTGTCGGGCACTTCGATCAGTCTCTATTAGACATTCCCGTACAAGAATCCGAGCTCGGATGATATTTCGCTTCAAACGTTCCGAACAAATTTTGTTGTTTGTATACGACGGCCTAATATCCTTTCCCAGTTCTTCAATCACCTACAAAATATTTTAAGTTTTATGCAATACCAAGCTTTTATACAATTTATTATGTAAGAAGAAAGTCCTTAATGAGGATGAATAAGTAGCACTCTCACTGTCGCAAGTAGTAGGATGAAGTTTGTTATTTTGATGACAACGAGATAATTAAGCACATTAGTTTCAAACAATTCATGAACAAAGAGAGAATTTTGAATTACGAAATAAGAAAAATGATATGCAACCAACACTCAATAATTGGGTATATTTCGATGCCCCTGATACTTGAGTAGCTGGAACCGAGTATTGGGGGAGTGTTGCGGTAGTTGATGATTGATTAGAACTTAACTGCTGTATAGTATGTCCGCCAGTTTCACCAGACATAACACTTCTCAAACAGTCGGATAACTGGCACTAACTGAGGTAGCGGTATCTGAAAAGCGTACTGATGACGGAATAAAAACAAATATCACCAAACTTTATCAAAAATTCAATGCAAATACATTGTAAAAAATCGCTCAGTTAATACCAATCAGTTTCTAACGCACAATGAGCTCATCACACCTCGAAACCGTCCACGCACGCACGCACAAAAACCTGAAACGCCACCAAAAAAACTGAATAGCACATAAAGCGAAGACCGAATTACGAAACACAGGGATATAAGTTGTTGCACGAGCGTTGCATGATATGGCATATGAAATGGAGAATAACGCGGACATCCATTAGATTGCATAGAACTAACTGCCTGCGTGGTGATTGTACTTCCTTCTGGAGTGCGTTTTTTTGGAGATTGTTCTTTTCGGAAATTTTGTTTGTATTTCAAAGAATTGTTACATTCCAACTACTAAAGCTTTTATTTGAAGTATACGGTTAAATAATCTATTAATGAAGAATATAAATTTATTACATTTTTATATTAAAAACCTTAACCTTGAACTTTTATCCTTTGATTTTGCTCTAAAACCGATTGTCAGATCTGAATCATTTATTTGTTGATCACCTCCGATGTCATTCGATCTTGATTTTTAGATTTCTTTATGTCAGATTATTTCAAATTTTACTCAAATTTGCTTTTTGCGAACTTTTGATTAATCAATTGAAGTTTTTTAGAATCCATCTAAGCAGTCAATCTGTTCAAACTATTTGTTTGGGTGTGGAAGAAGTTTTGCATTGAAGTATTTTCAATCCTACATATACTTTAGTTCTTCAGTACTGATCCGGTACTACTTGTGTTTCCACTTGACGAATGTCCAAAATGTCTAACGTTAGATTTTATGTTTTAGTAAAAGCTTAAAAACCCACATTCCATCGGATAAGGAATTCAAAATCCTCAAATATTTGATATTTGATTTATGGAGATTATCTCAGTATGGAGCAAAATTAACTCGTCGCTGCAGGTCATATTACCAATGCTATGTTGAAATTCATTTGAATTTCAGACATATACATTTGAATTAAACATGACCTGTGAGGGATGCGCAAATGCAGCAAGAAAAGTGCTGTCGAAGTTGGGGGGTATGTCATTACTCGCTGATATAACGTTCCCAAGTTTCAACCTTAGGATTTTTTTATTTACTTGATGATATATCTTATTGGAAACGGATCAGTATGATGGAAATTACGAATGTCAAAATTCGATAATCTTTTCTGGTAATTTTAATGGTTTTTATTGCAGATGATATATCGGACGTGCAAATCGATGTAGGGACCCAGCGAGTCATTGTGAAAACCACATTACCCGCTGACTCGGTACTTGCAACGTTGGAAAAAACTGGCAAGAAATGCAAGCAAATTTGTTGAAGAACGCCATCCATCATCTGGAGCTTCACTTAAAAATTTCCAATAGTTCCTTGTATCAGAAATAAACGAATGAGATATCAAGATTCTAGAATAAAGTGAAAGTTCATTGACTCATTTTAAAAAATCTCTGTACTACGCATGGATTTGGGATAGTAATTTCATCGGTTTTTACCATGCAAAACTTTGAATTCTCCGAATTTTCAGCCTGACCTTTTATTCCAGTTTTCACTGTTGCTATTTTCCTTGATTGTTTAAAAAGCTTTTTTGATTTGACTTCATTTTCTTTCATTAAAATGCAGCTTGTCTCAATACTATTATGTTCAATCCTTTAAAAAAATAAAACGTTGCTTTTCTCTGCATTAAAATTGCTTTAGTACATATGTCATCTACCTTCACATCTACAATTACATTTCTGTGTGAAGAGTCCCATTTATCATTTCCAATAGTTTTATTTTATTTATCCTTATTCGTCATCAATCCGATTAAAATTGAGATTTGATTATCACTTATTTGCTAATTATTTCATGCTTTTGTCCGGCACATGTTTTTATACGTTCAGTAACTTGACTTCACTGTATTTTATTATATCATTGATGAAATAATTAGCTTTGCCTCTATTTTCTATCTTCATATTACTGCTTGATTTGAGCGCTGGGTAAATGTTAAACTTGATTACATTTGAATACATCAAATTGAAGTTTTATTTCAACTCTGCCGGCTTACCAAAACATGCGTTGCTTTAGTGGAAGACATTACCTTTCGCATGCAGTTATCACCAAATATGTGAGCCATACGAAGAAAGTCAAACTTTGTGTATAGCACACGAACAAGAGCATAACTGCAATCCACCTGATTGATCATTTCGTGGTAAAATTTGGGTTGGGCTGGAGGTTGATAAAAAACAAGCGATTTGATACCCTAAATTGTAAGGAAAGATGAGAAAGATTTGAAAAGTTGCAAGAATTAAGATTTAGAAATTTTAATGGAACAGTTGAGTCTAGAATCAGGTGCTGGAAAAATTCTCATTCAGTCATTCTTTTTCGAAATAAAAGGTCATAGAAAATAACAATTACCTTAATATTGTAACGTCTATAGAAATGAAATCGTTCTGTTATCAACATAAGTTTCTTTTCTTTCTTATAGAATAATGCCCGCGCTTTTGCTACCTGTAAATTTTGTTTGTATTTTAAAAATTTTTCCAACAAAAAATTAAGTCTTTGAGCCAAGGTCCGCTTTTGTGAATAAAAGTACCAATTGAGCTGATAAATTAACACAGAGGACCGAAAATGATTATACAATGGCTTCTCGAGCAAAGACAGAAACAATTATAAATATGCACTAAAGACAAATAAAAGTATCACAATCATACGCTTTTTTGCTGTTGTCCGGCATTTATTCCTTTTGAGAGTCTAGAAAAAGTTTAATAGTATAAACCGACCTTCCCCTCCTTTGCATATTCATGGAGTTGGACAAAGCTTTCGTTTTCATTCTTTAAATAATTTCGAATCCTCACGAAATCAAAATATGACGGAATAAAGATAGTAGTACTCAATTCACATTTTGGCAGAATCTTTTCCTGAAAAATCAATAGCCATCATCATATTCATGTCATAAGTATCTGTATGTCTACATGATGTATATGTATATTTTTTAATAAAGAAAAAATGAATTCCTTGATAAAAATGTCGAAATCTATTCTATTAATTTTCAATAATAGGGCTTGTTGAATTATGAGTTAAATACTTTGAAAAATTTAAATCGGAGATCAGACTGATTTTCTGGCACGTCAACATCAATTCGCTGCAATTCCTGGCAGTACGGAATTTCTATCTGAAATTACCAAAATTTTTGATAACGATATCAATTACCGCATGCTGTAGAATTGCAAGCAGTTCAAAATTTTGGTGAAAGAAATTGAACTTAAAAAAGAAATTGAACAGCTTCATAAACTAATTAAGTACGTTTGAAAATATTGATTGTAATGTATTTCTACACAAAAAAGAAAATAAGGGAAAACAAAAAACATACATTATCTAGCAAACCTTTACTTGGTGTAAGAAGCTTGATGAAACCAGCAAAATTAATACAGTAAAGAGCAAATAATGCATCACATTCCGCGCGACGTTCTTCTGATATCAACACCGTTTGTCTAATAATAAACTTCTTTTGATAAATTTCATTATATGGCAAACATAAAAATATTGTTTAAAAGTCTCAAAAAGAAAGGAATGCAAACCTGTAAAATTTGGAATACTCTTCAAGGTACCAACGTCGAACTCGCGATATATCAACTGTGAGTTTTTTCGGTTGCATATGCAAACTGCTAATAACATTCAACAAATGTTCCCAATTTTGCATTAGCAATATGTCAGCCTAAATTTTCTTGACCGTTTTTTCTTAAACCGCATAAATTTTGAACAATGAATGGAAGTCTTCAATATCTACATCCGACATTTGATATTTCAGTGGCGTGCAAAATTTTGACAATTATACAGGTTCTACTAAGATCTCTCTTACCACCAATCTCTTCCCATAAAAAATTAGACAAACAACGTTGACAAATATGGTAAATATGTTTGTTTCAAATCCTATCGAAAATCAAACTACCTTATCAATGATTAATATTTCTATGGAAGCCAAAAAGTCCGTTTCTCGTTCCGAGTTATTTTCACCACCTCCACCTATGATCATCCGTAAACCCAATGGTGAAGAAATCAAAATATCCGATTCATCAAATACCGTATAAAGTTTCAAACTTTTTTTGGCAATTGCAACACCGATTCGGAAGCAATCATCAATATTTCCACTCATGAGCTTCCTGTAATCAACTGAAACCTGAAAATATTCCAATTAATAATTAAGTATATGAAAAAACTAAACAAAACAACAAAACACACATGCGAACAAAAAAAACAGTTATTGATAAAGAAAAATATACAGCGTAATTAAGTAACTGAACGGCAAAGGCAAAAATGACCTTTATAATTTTTTCAAAGCCTTACTTTTCTTTTTTCTGATATCTTGAATCCTGTATCACCAAATTCCGCTTTGAAACGCCGATAATTTGAAATAAATGGCTTGTCTGAATTACCAAAAATCAATACTCGGAAATTTTCAATAATTGAAAAGGCATCCTTTTTCATTGGGCAAATAATCAACACTTTGGGTCGTGATAACCCTTGGTCACGTGCTTTTTCAATATCATCTTCGGTTACTGACCCCTGAACTTGAAATTCAAATTTAGAAAAACAGATGAATAAATGCTCATGTCTTTCTCTCTCCATACCATTTAAACTTATTCTCGAAGAAGCAGCTGAAATATATTAACATTCTGGAAGTATTGCAAGTATATCAGATAAGATCAAAAAGATCTGCTACTACCTCATGTTTGTTCAACTGTGACAGAACAATAAACATCACAAAGTAATCATTTAATCTCGAATAAAAATCACCTTCTCACGACGGTTTTGCAAAAACTGTTTATTCTCTATCACAGTATTTCGTGTTTGTGTGATATGGTTGATAGCATGCAAGCAATACAACGGCTAAATTATTTTCTATTTATAGTTTAAAACCTTCATTTAAATTTCAAATTCAATATTCCCCTCCCCTTCCCCCTTCCCCCTCTCCAAACTATTTTATACTGATTAGATATTGTGATAATTATTGGAAAAAATGGAGGAAACATAACTGTGCAGTCGATTTTTAATCCTGTTGCACAAAGATCGATGTATCTGCCGATAATACTGTATAATGATAGCTGTATGCTGCTCATTGGGTTCCCATTAAGAATTTCAAAGTTTTTCACCAATTTCGAATTTAAACCAAAATTTCCAATTTCCTCTCGTTTTATAGTGTCATCTTTCAGCTTAGAATAGCGCTGATAGAATAAACCTATTCCAAGATCCTCCTGCAAAACGAGCATTGCATACGATGGTTTATAGGTTCTCATTAAATTGAATTTCGCAAAATGAAACCAACCAGAACAATACGCTTCGGCTCACTTGTTAATGACAATAATGTAGACGCAACAGTTGCATTTAAAGTTCCCCCGAAATGCTGCTGAAAGTAATTCGAAGCACTACTTTCATCTCTCTTAAATGCTTCCCGAAAATTTCGTTTCCGTTTGATCATTTCCTCTTTTTAATAAGCTAACTGCAAATTTATAATTAAAATTCTTTGAATGTTGCGAAAAACGTAGAATATTGTTGAGAGACACGATATTGATTTTTTAAGTATATGAGCTAAAAAAGGGATAAAAGATTGCACACGACAAACAAAAATTCATCTAATTAAAGATTTTAATTAACAGAAGGACACACCCACACACAAAACATGTCCAAGAAAATCTTAATTCTCAAAATTAGCATAGGGAACAGTAAAACAATACATATGGGGAAGGAGAAACTGATTAAAACTGAAAAAGATAATCTTTTTTGAAATAATTCCCTCCTTAAACGATTAATTTATTCTTTGTCTTCTCTTTTGAATGCTTTGAATGCTACTGTTCATATTTCCCTTCCATCAATAATATACAAGAGCAAACTTAGTTAGGATAAGATAGATTTCTGGAAGGAATAAAAATTAGAATAAATTTATAAGGATAGTTATATTTACTTTCCAATAACATTTATATATTCCCAAGTATTTGGTAGTGAGCAATACATTGTAATAGATAAGAAATTCATTGAAGTGGTAAAAATATTTATTGGAGACAAACAAATTCTTGAAAGCCAAGTAAATGGCAATGACAGATATAATAAAATAATAAAACAGAATGGTAGTTTACATGAAGAAACGTTCTGTTATAAAAGATAGAGCTTCACTGATCATTTGCAGCGGTTTGTTCAGGCCTCATTGCATCTGGTACAGGCGGTGGAATTGATAACGGCTCAATGACAACATCTTCTTCTTCTAAAATTGAAATCAGAAGATAGAAAAAAGATGTATCACTTGCCGAAGCGTAGAATTTATGGAGAGAGTGCCAATCCAGAAAATTTGTAAGAACTTTTAAATCTAGTGAAAGCAGATCCTCGGTATCATCACAATTCTTTAAATGAAATGGTTACTATTGTTACAGTCACACCTTGATGGTATTAATACAAAAAAGGATTGAAATCAATTAGTTATGCAAAAGTGATTTTCTTCTTTGCCTTTATCTAGTTTTTAAAGGAAAACATTTTACTTTGCTGTTTTATAAAAAAATTACTGATTAACAAGAATTGGCTAGTATCATCGGAACTGCAACAAAAGTTTCTAACAACTTGTATGGCGTATACTTAATGCTTTCCCAAATTTTTTATGCATCATAAATATGGTAATTTTGCTAGGCCTGGAAGGAATTTTTTCCGAAACTTATATGATTAGGAGAACTAAATTACTGCAAGAAATTTAATACGAAAAAAGTTGAAAATTTTTTTCAAATTATTCTGCTTTTACCATTAGTAACAACAAGTGCCAGCGGTGCAGGTGCTTGTGCACGAGAATTCTGAGGGGTATAACCACATTCGGAAAGAGTTTGACGATCTTCAATTGTATGCCAAAAACCATCTTCAGTTTGTTTTTTCAAAGTTTGCTTATTTATTGGTACCTGAAAGCATAACCACAGCATAAAAACTCAAACATAACCTTTTATTAAAATTTCTTTTCATAAAATATTCTGAAATTTAAATGATCGAACGACAACTACGCTTACCTTTAGGATACCTTCAATTATTTTCTTAAGTTCCAAAACTGTTGCATTTTCTTTGACATCGCAAAAAATGTGTGTTTTACGACGCAATATTTCAAAAAACAATTCCTGGAATTCTATGCTAATAAAATATGCTGAAACTTTTTTCAGAATTTTCCAGAAATAACCTAATATTATCAAAATATATTTATTTGAAAATTCAATATAGCTAAAAAATAAGAAATTAAGATAAATTAGTGCAATTGCGGAAGAAAAAACATATTCAGTCAAAAATTAACAAAAATCAGTTTCTTACTATTCCGAGAAAAAAATAAAGATAAAAAATGAAGCGAACCATTTTACCATTATCCATAGAAGATATTTAAATTTTAAACACTGAGCATTACCCAACAAGACGTAAAAGGAAAATGAAAAAATGAATCCTGCAACTGGAAATTATATAAAAATTGAAACATATGAAACTCAGGAATGAATAACCGATGACTCGACCCCTACTACTGTTATCATTTTTCTGCATTTCGAAATTTATACGGAATGCAAGATTACACAAACCATGGATACTAACATTTTTTTTCAATAATAATCTATCGTTACAAATGCTTCATTTAAATATATCCCTGGAGTTAAAGAAAGGGATTAACTCTCAGTTCTCAACCAACGTTTTAGAATACTAGCAAAACGATTTACTAGAAGAGTAGAATATCAGGTCAAAACTACTTTATCAGAAATTTTAGAACTTTTTGGATGACATGAATTAACACCTATCAAAATCATAAAAATCCTGATTACTCAGTATAGAACATTTTCTGATACCTCGATACAGAAAACACCAAATACGACCCTACACTGGACTCCCTAAAAAATCCACAATCCTTACCGTTATTCTTTTTGAGCATGATAACTGTTAAATTTTCTTAATCATCAATATTTTAGAATTAGTCGGAAATGTACTGAAGTTCTTTATAATCAGATTTTACTCGTAGAAATGAAAAACTAATTATAAAACCTAAACCAATCTCTGAATAGAAATCCACTGCTCCCGCAACATAAATGATCTACCTTATAAAGTCAATGAACAGACTTGTAATTAGCACACCACTTGTACAATATTTCTAGTTGTATAATATTTCTATAATGCCATAACTTTGCACCAGTTTTGTCCGTAAAAAAGTTAGATATATTTCTATTAAGTAGCCTCATTTGATACCACAACTTAAATTGTTGAGTGCAATTTGAGCCAAAATAATCAAAAATTATATATACATATATATAAAGGAAAAGGAAATGCTAATTTGCAGTGTCTCGAAAACACAAGATCAGCTTTCAAATTAAAGAACAGTTACTTCAAATTTTACTAAGTCAAAATTAGTTTCAACACATTTACATTTTACATACAGACAAAGCAAAATATTAAACAAAATTTTGGACACAAATTTAAAAACAATACTAAAAACATGCTCAGAAACCTTGCAAAACTCTTATAAGCAACAAGGAAAATCCTTTTTGTTAGATCAAACATCTTCCGTGGTTTGGAAAACTAAGTATACTACCTTAACGATGTATTAGTAATATAAAGATGAAAATGCCTACCTACAAAATACAAATATAAATTACGGTATAAAATGAAATGAAAATTTTCTCCCGTTCATGACGATATTTTTCAATGTAAAGTAAATCTCTTTAAATTATTGATATTAAATATTTTAAAATTTTACAGACATGAGAAAGAAGAGAATCTTGATCAGCCATGAATTCAAAAAACAAAGTACTTATAAATCTGTGCATAACATCTGCAGCAGTACAGAAACGCGAGGAAAAAATCACCATATCGATATGGAAGTGAATGTAATATGTCATTTAACGCATATAATATGTTATTTAACGCACTCGAAGTCATCTTATATTTAACGTTTTTGATCACCAAGATCTTCAATTAAATGTGAATCAATAAATGGCCATTTTGTTCCTATTATTTCTAGTATTTCATCCTTTACATCGCCCTGAACTACTATTTCATCATTTGCTGTTACCGATGAACCGCATGCAAAATGTCCAGCAAACAATTTAGCGGTAGCTTTCAAATCAACATCTGCAAATAAATAACTTGACGAAATCTAATTCATTATCTGCGAAGACTTTTTTATAACTAAATCAGCATACTACAAACTAATGTGTGAGGATCGTGAGATGTAATTTAAAGAATTATATGAGCAAGAGTGCTTACATATATTACAAAACCGTCAAATATAAAATGAATAAGCAGAAAATTTAACTGTCTATACTAAATGAGGATGCAGTTTCGAAAGTTTCTCAGTAAAATGCTTAGAAAAAGAGTAAAATGCCAACACATACAGAATTCCTTCTGTCCTGACTCTTTCCCAAACCAATTAGTAAATATATTTTTGTAACTGTAAGTCATCTTATAATGGAGGCTCCCTGAAAAAAAATATCACCAAGATTACCAAATGAAGCTAGTCCTTTGATCACTGTAACGGATTTGTTTTTTCCACGAGCTACTCGCTGTAATGTAACTTTCGTTACCATATTCTTTTTTACTGCTGCATTTTTTTCATTTATAGTCTTAGAACCCTACAAAATTTTGATTATTTCAGAATCAAAATATTGCAATGTAAAAACAATTTTTATAAAAATCTGAATCATCTCCACATGATTCTAAAACAGTTCATTAAATCAACGAATACATTTCTATAAATGCAAATGGGGAAAAGGATGATAATAGTTAGCCAATTAAATACTTGCAATTCATGATGTCAATCACTCATCATTCCTTTCAATTTATTTACTAGTAAAATTAAAGACTCGTTTATGAGAATGAAAACAGTTTATGGATGGGAATATTTAGAGTTCCTGTGCAATTCTAGTAAATTCTAGAGGAGTAATATTATAAACAGGAACATTCTAGATTTTTTATCCTTCTTCTCCCAGATACCCAGACAATTTTATACACCTGTACCTCAAATATGAGAAAATATCTACCTTGCCACCTCGTTTTTGATGTTTTTTTTCACCATCTGTTAATTCCTTTAGACCTGCTAAATTCAATTTCTCGAATTCGGATGGCAAATTCGCTTCTAACCAACTTAAACATTTATCAGTCATTCCACTGTACTCGCAGTATTCAAGCGGCATACTGCATACTGGAAAGAGGACATAATTTGCGCTAAAATTAAATTTAAAGATTCGATTTCTGAAATGTCATTAAATTTGAAATCCGCACTTGTTTTTAAAAAAAATAGAAAATAACCTCCACAATACTGTACCGTGAGGGGATATTTAACCGATGCTGCACCTGCTGCTTCGCATTCATCATCGGCCATTCCTGCAAAATTCGTAAATTAAATTAAAGCTCAAATACTAAAAAACACCGTAACACAAGCCTTGTAGTAAAAAAAGCTCTTTACAAAATAAATTCCTTCAACACTTTGTGATTTTTATCGAGAAGCGAAGAATGATTAGAAGCTGTGAAAAACGATTTGAAAATCTTATTCTCGTCCCTATGAGAAATCAGAAATTAAGTAAAGCTAAAATACATAATCTTTTGGATTCAAAATCGGCACAAACATTAACGAAATTCAATGCAGAAATAACGGGAATATTTTATTCTTCAAAGTCTGAAACAATCTCATAATTGTAAACGAAATATCACGACATAAAGTATGTCACACCGAAGTATCGAAGTTATGTCAACCTTTTAACGCCACTATTTGTAGGCACTAATTATCACTATTTTGTCGCATTGGACTTTACGAGTTGGCTTCATTGTTAAGTACGATACAAATTGTACTGCAAAAAAATAGCCCATCGATTGATTTGTTCTTCCTGCTTATCTATATTAGCATGCTTCACCTTTGAAATTCCAAACAATCAATCGACTGCCCCTTTTCAAACTTATGTACTTTGAACGTTAAAAAAAGGCTGTGAGAGGCTTCCTATAACATCTGGGAAAAAGATAATTAAATATGATAACAATCAACATTAAATATGATAACAACATAACAAACATGATGATATATTTCTTAGAAAATGATATAAAAGAACCAAATATCACAATGACAATAACATAACGGCCTGCAAGAACCGACGCTCAAATTAGAATAATGAACAATGATTGTAGAATTCCAAGCTTTTTCTTTATCAGGCCATGTATATATGTAAAATTTTAAAAGCATGCAAAATTATTTACTTAGATGATTTAAACTCTGGTATATATATAGTAAACTACATTTTAATTTGCAGTTGATATTTCTAAAAAATTGGGAAACCAGAACTCCTTTCCCAACATCAATAAGCCAGAATCAGATGCGCTGTGCACCGGGATAATGGATGTCATTGCACACTTTTTAGAAAAGCGAATATAAAATACATATTTTGAATGTTATATAGGTAAAACCAAGAATCCATAAGCAAATGATTTGTAACAATATGATCGATATATATAACTGAAGCATATCGATTTTCAGAATCATGTAGTGATGAAATCATATTAAACACAACTTCGACGAAATATTGTGAAATTGAAAATAGCGAATGCGGTCGAAACGCAGCACGATGTAACCAATCAAGCAATAACACTACCAATTCCGATAACTTGATCGATAATTATGTCAAGTAATTAAATAATTTTATGAACGAAGAAAAAGATTCAGACCTGCAAACATTCCAAAAGAATAAATACATAAATAAACTTTTCCTTTACTCAGTTACTTAGACCATGAAATAAATTTATTTCGACACTAAACCATGTAATTAATTCTATGAAAAAATCGGAGAAACTAAAATAGATGCAAAAGCATACGAATAGACAGATTTTGAGAAAGAAAATTCCTAAAAGACAATATATATAAATACATGCTACATTATAGAGCCAAGTAAAAATTAAAACTCTACTGTAATATTACAATTTCATAGCACAATATTACAGATTATTTTCCAGGATTACCCATTTCTATGTAAAGGAGCCCTTTGAATAGCTGCGTGCGACGATATCATCATTATTTTTCAGTCCCTTCACATCTAAACAAAGATCCACATCTTTGTTTCGCAATTTGCTATCCTAAAAATCCTAAATTATTAGTGTAAAAATTTGAATACTGAAAGTAATCTATTGTTCATAAACTTCTACATTATAAAAAAATAGTACTCCAAAAACACTCGTTTTTACTTACGTAAATATAAGTCCCGAAATAGTACTCCCAAAACACTCGCTTATTACCTACGTAAATATAAGTCAGATGTAGAGATATGAGTTATTTCACGCATACCTTGGGAGAAAAAATGAAAACCTTAAATTGAAAAATTTAATTAAAAGCAAAAAAGTCTCATTTTCTCCACAGTACACTAACGGAACAATTCCGTATTATCCACAATCGTATTCCGATCAATTTTAATGCAAGTTAATTCATGTAGTAACTTTCTATCATTTGTCACATAAAATAGTAACCTATCGATTTACGTCTACTTATAACCTAAGTAATACCGCGCCAAATACTGCAAGATTTTCAACCAAAATAAAGTTATTTTTCGCCACGTTTTCCAAATACCACTTGAATCGCTTGCATCTCAATTTTTCGCACAAAGCTCTTTCCGAGAAATCGCCAACTTTCTTCTCCTGTAAGGCAAAATCATCCCACATGATGTAATTTCTTTGCATAATGCACAACAAGCAAGAGGTATTATATTATTTGGATCTGGATTTTTAACATAACTTATATTCAATTCACTTCCAGAAAGTTATATGGGTAACTGTCCCCCCAAAAAATAGATTGGATGAAAAAAATTTTTCTTCAACTACTGCTTTTTTTGCGGCAGTTTTCACATATTCATATCAACCAAAAAGAATTTAAATAGAAACATTAAGTGTTATACAACGTACAACGTACAGAAACATTTTTGCTGTAGTAAAAACAAAATGTTCAGAAAAAAGTCAACTTAAAAGTACTAGAGATTGTGACATAACACTTTCTATATCGTACCTTCAAGTCTGTCCGATAAAGAAAATAAAATCTCCTGTAGTCATCTATCCATACTTCTGTTAATCTTTTCAAATTGGTACCATGCACATCATTATTATTACCAGGCCCAGTCATGTTATATGGATGGCCACTCGAAATATATGGCAACATGTGAACAACGAATAAATTCAATACTGAGGTAATCCAAAAGTAAACTGATGGACAATTTGATGAAATCCCTAAAATGTTAAAATGTCATTTATTTATCTGTAAATGCATGTTTTTTCAACGTTACAGATTAAGAGTTTTTTTGCTTCAAAAAAATCTTCGAAAAATAATTCCAAATGATATTTCAAGACTTACTCCACCCCATATATCCATTTCAGGGTCATATCCACCAATCTCGAAAAAATATAATCTGTCTACTGCTAAAACAGCACCTGCCATCGTTGAAGACCTGAAAATGTCATTAACCCATAAACAACTCTCTCAGAATAAAACTTTGTTTGCACAACATATTTCATGCTGTGTTGAATATAAATGAAAACATTAAAGGTAAAGTCCCTCAAACATAAAACATCTTATTGATTTATAAAAAATTTTATTTAAAAATGTTAGAACTTGAAAAACGATAAATAAATTCAAGAACTTAATTGGTTTCATGGGATCAGCATCGCGATCTTCCTTTGGCAAATGATCCCGGCGAAAAAAGGCAAAACCAACATGAGTAGAGCGATTACTACTCGAATAAGCCAATGTTTCTGCTGGTATATGATCAATTATAGGACAAAGAACAGCGACCGGTCATAACAGTGGTTCTAATCTGAAAAAAAGGCAAAGAATTGCAGCTTGTACAGCTATCAATTATCTTGAGTGAGGTATGGGAATCCCAATTCTTTCAATTTATTTTTGTCCAATAGCAACTATTCATTTGCATGCAAATTATAAATATCTTGTGTAATAGTATGATTAATACTATTATGAAAACGAAAACTTCAAAAACATTGCGGTTGACATGTAAAAATGTCAACCATCTAAATATTTCAATGATTGCTCTGCAAGAATTGACGCATGTAAGCCTGTAAGACGAATGTGGCATGATTATAGATGGCATATTAATCTATTTTATCATAATCGCTACTACATAATTATACGAATTTTGATAATAAACTTTTTATTTGCACAATAATATTCATGTAAACAAATAGAAAACAAATTTACCATCCCTTCGACACTTCACAGTAGGAATCAAAGAATACCAATACATCACCAGCTGCTTCTTTCGCACCCAATAATTTCGCTCTTGTTAAACGTTGTCATTCCCGTGTTCGTATAAAACGAACTTTACTGCCAAAGTGTTTACTATATTCTTCTAATCTGCCTTTCAACTCATCTGAAATTAAAAGAAAACTGCTGCAAGTTATCGCTAAAGAAAATATTTATTTTCATAAAGGTATTTTACGTCAAAATTAAAGGGCTTGAATTTGTGACAAGTATTCTGCTTTTAGTAGGATTTCTATTACTTAAAATTTGACTTATTTAGCACTGATGAATTTGCTGTACTCAGCAGTAGTTTGATTGCCCATGAGTAAAGTATAGAGGAGCGGTGAATTTACCTATTTTTGTCACGCACACTTTTTTAATTTAGCCATCACAATAAAGGATCGAATTGTTGGAATATGCTACAAGCATAGATATAAATAAAAAGTTAATTATAGCAATATTTATTATAGAAATTTTTTCCAACTATTCTATTTTTCTACTTAATTTATTCCATAAATATATTGTGTAAGTAATTTCTTTAATTATTTGCAGGCAACAATAAACAACGCGTTAAAAAAAATACTGTTAATTCGCTGCAACCAAATATTCAGTTAGAATTTAATAATGAATTATTTATTAGAATAAAAAACAACCTCTCTCACTAAAATCATCAACTAAAATGATTTCTTGTAGCAATTTAAAAAAGATGTCTGTTAATTACGGAATGCACAGCCAGTATTAACGGTGACCACGGTTCATCAGTGAAAATAATCACTACTGAAGCAACTGGTAAATCATCAGGATATTAATTTTACGACAGTGTTCAAGGCGATGATCTTGCACACTTCGATCAAGTGATATCATATCACTGAAACAAAAATGGGAATGTTGACATTGAGTATATTAAAAGCAATAAAATAGTATCTTATTTTAATTGCAGTGAATATGTGGTAAAAGTAGTTTCATGACAATAATATTAAAAATATTACTGAAAATGATGATATTCTTGACATGCTATATATGTAAAATTCAGACAATTAAAAGCGAAGTACAATTTGGAGAGAGAAAAATTGTTCCAAGTTTTCAATAATTTGATTTACAATGATCGCTTTGACATCAATGTAATATATCAGTAATAACTGTAAACATAACTATCCGCCTTATATTATGGATAATTTCAATAATGCTTTACATAGTGTATCGCAATAAAGATATAAATTTAAATGATAATTAACTCGTACCAAGCCGGCAATGATTTTTTGATTATGCCAATAACCTTTCAGCAACATTTCACCAATAATCTCGTATTATTAAGCCAAGTTCCTCTGCATATTTCTCAATATTTTCGATAAAACCTCCATCTTATAATCGTTCTAACTTATATAAAATTCTTTCGTAAGCCCATTAGCCTAAAAAAGTAGTAATTTCTCATCGCAAATAAACGAATATGTGTTACCTTGCACCCAAATTCATAAACCACTTTTTCATAATCGCTTCTTCTTGAGCTTTCTGTTTTCCTGTCAGATATACACCACTATCATCTTCTCCGAGTCCGATACGTTTCCTCGAATAATCTGGCCCTTCATGTAACATGACAATGCTCCCGCTATGTCAAGAATTTAAAAAAGAAAAAGAAAAAAATAAATCTTAATAATCCATCAAAAGTAGAACAATTCACCCATAAGAAATGTTCAGTGATTCGGAACAATGCATCTTCTGGTGATGACCAGGACTTTATCTCATTAATGACATCTTTCAAATTTAAATTTGAAATGAAAATGCATACTTTCCGTGCAGGTAATTGGAACCACGATGGATTACGTGAACAGAAGATTACGAAAAGGACGAGCATCATAATAAACATAACGTTTAATAATATGTTTGCTTTATAACGTAGAATAAAATGCCGTATCACATTGCAAATTATATACTGACGACCTGAAGTGATCAAAAATTGAGTATTTTAATAGATATAATGAAACGCATTAAATGAAAGGAATTTCATGAGTCATTTGCTAAATAAGCAACTTAAAGTTCAACAATAAAAAAATGAAATTTTTAATCAAAATTTATTTAAACAGCACAACTTACCCAAGATACTGAATACACAAATACGAAATTATTCAATATATCTAATAGCGTTAATCTGCTAAGGAAAAGCAACCGCAAAGAAAAAAAAAAACACTGCAACTCAATAGGTCCGACACAACCGCTACCAACCACCACGCTCAACCTCTGACACCAAAAATGATCAATCTGATGATAGTGGCACAGTTTTTCTATGCCACCCAACTATGACACCGTAAATCCGACTATTGGGCCGAAGTCGTTAATTGTGCACTATGAAAATTTTACAAATTAATTTCTGTTACATAAAATTGAAGCATTTATTTGCTTACAATGGATTAAATTAGGTGAAACTCGATAGAAATGATTATTGCTGTTATTATTGATTATGATTATGATTATCATTATCATTGCAATTTATTATTATCATCACTATTATTATTATTATTATCATTATCACTATCATCATTATTATTGCAATTGCTGTTGTTACGTACTTCCTATTCTTATTCCATTTTATCGACTTTATGGATCATAAGAAATTGTTGTGAAGCTGAATTCTAACTGGAAAAAATTTTGACATTTTTAATGATTTCTATATACATCGCTGAAGATGGTAGATAGGAGAAAGAGACATTTTTTTCATCTGCAGGTAAGCATCTGTATAGCTAGATGCTTGCTTACGTGCAGATTTAAAAAATATGCATATGCATGGCTGTCATAAATTCAAAATTTGCTACTTTGGATAATATTTTGTATAAATTTTTTCGTCCATTCTGAATAATGAACTTATATATACATATATATATGTATATATATGTCTGGTTGTTTTGCTATTTGCTTAATCTCTTGCATATCTGGACAATTCCCCATTGTAACAGTCTTCCCATCAGGATCCTTTCTTTGTTCACACAACTCCGTATAACTCCTTTGTTTAGGTACTATCAATTTGATCTGCAAATATTATCAATTTTCGGCTGCATGAGGTGCTTAGCAAGTGATATGAGCAATGCAGATTGCGCCAAAACGAACGGTATGATCGACTATTTTCTGTTGAACGAGTGAACTGATGATGAAGTCATTATTGGTTATTTGAAAATTTCGAACGACTACTTCGATGATGAACAGTTGAAGAATCTATTCGTCACACGTTTGTGTTATCGTAGTTCTTCGTCAGTGGCATTTATATTGAATATTAGTTTTAATAGTTTCCAAATTTCGATCAGACATGCAATCCGCCAAGATTTGAAAGAAAAATCTTACCCAGTTAATAAAAAAATCGAGCAAGAATTCTAAAGAGATCGTGCAATCATTATGAAATATTGTGACAAAATCAGCATAATTAATAGTTTTTCGGTATATGATAGAATATTTTTCTTTCCCTGGTCTTCTATCAGACTCTCTCTTTCAATTTATTATCATTTCACCAATTTTTCTTCTTTTTTCATTTGTTCTCATCAAAAGCGTTGATTGGTATTATTTGCCTAAAATGTGAACTGTTCCTTTCGATATATTTATGTAATAAAAATTCGCTTGAATTCAATCGTCATTCTTAAATCGTATTGTCATTCTTAAACACAATTTTTTGTCTTTATTCTCATTTTCTCATAATGCAAGCATTTCGAAAATTTGAGAAATACATAACGATTAAAAACAACACTGAAATATATGTTTCAGAATTATTGAAAGTGAAAAATTGATTGAAGGGCTTACTGTAATCTATCTAAGGCACCATTCTTTACGGCATGCTATAAAATGAAAAATTGAGCAAAATAAAATAAAAGTTAATGAGGAAGGTGAAGGGTAAATTAAGAAAGAGAGAGATAAGGGTAAGACAGAGAAAAAA